GCCCTTAAATTTTTTGATAAAAATCAAAATGCGGTTTTTGGAAAAGTGAGACAGCTAAAATACTCCGAATTTTACGCTGATTCCGAATATATAAGTTTCATTGAGTTTTATCTGGGTGCTCGACACTCGCTTATCCTCTCCCGTGCTTTTATCAGCAGTTTTGCAGCAAAATGCTCACCACGTGCATCTTTTGAAAAAAACAATCGTTTGGACGCTGAAACTTTCAGGCTATTCCTAAATATGTTTGATCTTTATACTCTAAAAGTTTGAGCGAAATGGGCAACACCTTGGATGCAACGTACGTTGTGGCTCTCGTGCAATGGCTCTTAGATGTTTATGCTATTTAACATCGTTCACAACAATATTTTTAATAAGAGGATCTGGTATTATTTTATTGCGCTGTTGATTGTATGTCATGCATTCACATTTATTTTCATTTAACGGTATCCGCCATGCAAGGGACCAGTCATACACTTTTTTAAGATGATCATTCAATATTTTTTCAAGACATGTGCATCTATATGCGAGTAGTGTACTACTGTATCGTCAACAAACAATCGAGATTGTTGCCAATATCATCAATATAAATTAAAAACAAGAGTGGACGGAGAACGCTTCCTTGGGGAATACCTCGGTTAATAGATAGCGCTGATGATACCTTTCCATTTACAACCGTAATTATTTTCCTGTCACTTAGCTAACTATAGAATCATTTTAATAATGGTCCTTGTATTCCTTTCGCTTCTACTTTAGACAACAACCCTTTTATTCACACACGATCAAATGCTTACTAAAATCTCAGAATGCTGCTCTTGTGACTAACTCTGCATCATTATTTAAATGAATAGAATGTACAAGATCAATTAGTTAGTTAACAGCTGAATCTCCAGACTGATCTCAAACTGATTGTAAAGAAGACAGCAAATTGTTTGTACGCAAATACTGATAAAGCTGCTTATGTACAACCCTATCAAAAATCTTACTTAAAATTGGAAGAAGTGTAATCGGTCTAGAATTAAAAGCACTAGACGCACCATCATCTTTGTACAATGCCTTTACATAGCCAGTTTTAAATGATTCAGGATATATTCCATTTTCAAGAGATTGGTTATCATACGAGCTATATAATTAGATTTTACAATTACAGATTCTTTTAACACTCTGGTTGTTACTCCAGGAGTACTAGTTTTATTAACATCTAGTCTGATAAGAATTCTCTCTACTTCCACAAATGATACAACGATAGAAGATATTTTCTCAGTTGGCATGTTTATATAAGGTACAGGTTTTTGATTGTCAATAGTACATAACGTATAAACAGACACAGAGTAGAAATGAAGTCATACTTTTTTATAGTCATCATACAACCAGTCACCTGTAGTAGTTTTAATTTTTTTTGTAATCATATAATAGCAATGATAAATATCTATAAATATACAATGAGCCAAACATTTTTAAATGAAAAAGGTTAGAAAGTGTATATTCTATTGCCAACAAATGGTACAACAATAAAACAAGAATCAGTCATCAGTCGGGAGCAGCAATAGACAGACGGATAAAAAAAAACAGTAGTAGCATGTACAAATTGATAGAGAACGAGAAGGAAAATAGTTTAAAAGCAGGAGAAGAGAAAGGAAAGGAGAAAGAAGAATAGAAAGTAATCCTGTATAGAAAAGAAAATGCGAGGTATGATCTGAGACGACAGATAATAAGAAAAATATATCGATAAATCTTATGTATGATGTTTATCAACTCCTATTCTAGCATTGTATACATCATGTTAACATTGTTTTTCAAATTTTGAAAAATTGTTATAATTCTAGATTGTGGATCTATCAACTATTTTGTTTTTAAACTGATGATATGTTAACATGTCGAAACATTTAGATAATATATATTTATTAATAAATACAAAAGGAAAAAAGTCAATAACTTTTCAACTAAATTATTAACTTGGTAAACAATAATAGCAGTAATTATAAATAAAACCTCTTATGCCATTTAAATTAGTTAACAATGAGGAGGAATACGAGTTACATTCAACCATAGAAACACCTCGAATTGCGAATGGAATCCTTACACCTAGAATTGAAATGTATATTCAATCAGCTACCATGACACTTTTAAATCAAACACTGCTCAATATTATACGTCATGTAAATAGGACACAAATAACTCAGAAACTACTAGAAAAACCTCCTGAGATAGATTTAATAAACGCAGAGCTATCTGGTGATTAAAAATGTAACATAACAAAACTAATTCAGTAATATCAGAATGTATTTATGGAGGACCACAAAAGTATTAAAGCATCATATTCAAATAACTCCAGGAACACAACCTCAAAACTCAGCTCCATTTCGATGTGCATTGGCGAGAAGTAAAATAATCTAGCAAAATATGAAGGAAATGAGAGGGGAAGGAGTTATCTCACCATCTAATAGTCCATGGGCTTCTCCAGTCGTTCTTGCACCCAAAAAGGATGGAACTCTTCGTTTTTGTGTTAGTTACAGAAAACTTAATTCTATTTTAGTGCGCGATGTATATCCAATACCACGAGTTGCTGATACATTAGATGCTCTACAGGAAGCAAAGTTTGTGTCTACTTTGGATTTGCGTTCAGGATATCGGCAAGTTGAACTTGATTCAGAAAGTAAAGAAAAAACAGCCTTTATCATGCATAAAGGCTTATTCCAATTTAATTTCATGCCATAGGACCTCATGAATGCGTCAGCTACATTTCAACGTTGAATGGACATTGGTTCAGTGGGAGTAAAGTGGCAATGTTGCCTTGTCTACATACATGATGTTATCATTTACTCACCTACATTCGAAAAGCATCTAGATGATCTAGAGTAAGTATTCAAAGCTTTAAAACAAGCGAATTTAACTGTGAAAGCATCTAACTGCCAGTTTTGTCGAAAAGAACAGAATCGCTACTCCCACAACTCAATACACAAGCCCACAACTGTCACAACCACAGAAACTCAAAGATCTAGAATCATTTCTTGATCTAACTGGATACTATCGGCGTTTCGTTAAAAATTATGCTACGATAGCGGAACCTTTACTCAGACTGTTAAGGAAAAAGCAGCTTACAAAAAATACGAACCATAACCTTTGGTAGTTGCAAAATCTAATTTGAAATATTTAAATGATTGTCATCCATTAAAGTATATTAATATTGTCGAAGATTTATCTAAACGCAATGCTACTATATATCGTTTAGCCTCTGCAAAATAAACTATCGAAACAAAATAAACATTAAATATATTCTAGCATATTTTTACTTGGTACTGTTCTTTCTCTCTTTATATCATAGTCTGTCTAGACATTATACATATATGTGCGTAGTTCGTTTGTTTTCACATGAGTTCTTGCTATTACCATTTCTTCTCTTTTTCTACTTTTATTCTTTCTTTTTTCTAGCTGATTACACTACACTTGCGTATGCAGGAAGAGAAAAACCATTTTTATATCCTTTTACGCTTATATTCTTCATCTCAGTAGCAATGATGTTTCATTGTCGATGTCATATGTGTTGATCACGTTTTTTCATCCAACGTGGCATCACCAATAAATAAGAACGCTCAAACTAGACATAGTTGAACAAAACTGAATAGTCACCACTTATTCTTAAATATTAGAAGTATGTTCGCTCCTTCATCACATTCGAATACAAATGTTTCAAAATTTGAATTACGTTATGAATATGTGAGTAATATTGATCTCTTATGGTGTTGTTGAGATCTGACTAGATCATTCGACACCTATAAGTAAAGTATCTATACCTGGATATAAATGTTTTCGTAATGATCGTGAGTCGCTTGGTGGCGGATGTGTGTTTTACGTAAAAGATAGTGTACCGTCGTTTGAAGTAGCTAGAAGAAAAGATCTGAACTCTGAATGCCTATTTATGAATGTTCTACTTCCTAATATTGGAAACACGTTTTTTGCTGTATGCTATCGATCTAACGCACACCCAAAAAAACTCGGTCTGCAAAAATCTTTGCAGAATCTGTAAAGATTCTGCAATCTCTGCAATCTGCACTTTTTCTGCAATGCAGATGTGCCAAGATTTGGCCAAAGATCTGATGCAGATCTGCAATAAAATCTTTACAGTTTCTTTGCAGTTTCTCTGCAGATTCTTTGCAGAAAAACTGCAGTTTTTTGCAGAT